ACCTTTTCAAAGATTGACCACATAATAGGGCACAAAGCAAGCCTCTACAGATTCAGAGGCATAGAAACAATATACAGCAACTTCTCCAATCATGATGAAATTAAACTTAATTTTAATTTCAAGAGAAATCCTCAAAACTACTCAAATACATGGAAACTAAATAACCTATTCCTGAATGACTCTCCTACTACCGAAGAAATAAACACTGAAATCAAAAGATTCGTGGAAGTCAATGACAATGAAGACACGAGTTTCCATAATCTTTGGTACACTGCTAAAGCAGTCATAAGAGAGAAGTTCATAGCAATTAGTGCACATAAGAAGAAGATGAAAGGAAGGTTGGCACGCACACACACGCGCCCGGCGTGAGTTTTAAGCCACCAGGTCCGGGACACGAACCGCGGTCGACTACATGGGAGTCCAGCGACATAGCCATTACGCTAACTGCTGGTTCCCTAAAAGCTGGTTCTTTGAAAGGATAAACAAAATGGATACACCACTAGTGAGACTTATTAAGAAGAAGAGAGAAAGGAACCAGGTGAATAAAATCTGCTATGAAGCTGGTAACATATCAACAGACATAGTAGAAATTCAAAACATCATTAGAGGATACTTCGAACATCTATGCACTAAGAAACAAGACAATATGGATGGGATGGACAAATTCCTGGACAAATATAATCTACCAAGAATGAACCAGGAGGATATAGAAAGTCTGACTAGGCCCATAAGAAGCCATGAGATTGAATTAGTAATAAATAATCTCCCAACGAAGAAAAGCCCTGGTCCTGATGGATTCACCTCTGAATTCTACAAAACTTGCAAAGAAGAGTTAACCCCCATTCTGCTCAAGTTATTTCTAAAGATTCAAAAGGGTGAATCTCTCCCCAATTCATTCTATGAAGCCTCTATCACCCTTATCCTTAAAACAGATAAGGACAGGACAAGGAAGGAAAACTATAGACCAATATCCCTGATGAATATAGACGTAAAGATTCTCAACAAGATACTAGCAAAATTGGGGACCAGCAGTTAGTGCAATGGCTATGTTGCTGGACTCCCATGTAGTCGACCGTGGTTTGCGTCCCGGGTCCGGTGGCTTAAACTCATGCCGGGCACGTGTGTGTGCATGCCCAAGATCCTGAGAGCAGAATGGAGGAGAAGGGACTTTGGCGTGGCCATCCACCCTGGGGTGTGATTTCTCGCTTTCTGTCTCTCTGTCTCTGTCTGGTAAGTGCATGTGCCCTATAGCAAAAACCTCTTTAAAAAAAAAGATACTAGCAAAATTGTATCCAACAACTTATTAAAAAGATTATACATCATGATTATGTAGGCTTTATTCCAGGAATGCAAGGTCAGTTCAACATACGTAAAACCATAAATGTAATACACCATATTAACAGGAAGAAAGATAAAAACCATATGGTTATATGAACTGATGCAGAAAAAGCATTTGATAAGATACAACATCCCTTCATAGTCAAGACTCTCAGCAAAAAAGGGTCATTTCTCAACACAATAAAAGCTATCTATGAAAAACCCATAGACATCACCCTCAATGGAGAAAAGCTGAAAGCTTTTCCACTAAAAACGGGTACCAGACAAGGATGCCCACTCTCTCCATTCCAATACAGTACTGGAAGTCCTCGCCAATGAATTCAGAAAAGAACAAATAAAAGGCATTCAAATAGGAAAAGAAGAGGTGAAATTCTATTTGCGGATGACATGATTGTATATAATATTTCTATATACAAACAACAGGTCAATGGGACAGAGTAGAGAACTAAGGAATAAATTTCTAAACATATAGCCAACTGATTTTTGACACAGGGCAAGATAATCCAGTATAGAAAAGAAAATTTCCTCAGCGAATGGTCCTGATAAAGCTGGATATCCACCTGTAGAAAAATGAAACTGGACCCCTTAAATCTCATCACTAACAAAAATCAACCAAAATGGATAAAAGATCTAAACATAAAACCTCAAACTATAAAACAGCTGGTGAAAAACACAAAGGAAACTCTAGGAGACATTGCAGAAGGAAAAGACTTCTTAAATAAGATCCCTAAAACATAGGCAAAAATCCCGAAAATAGGCAGGTGAGACTAAATCAGGTTAAAAAGTTCCTGATCAGCAAGAAAAACAATAAATTAAAGTGAAGAGACAGCCCTCAGAATAGGAGAATATATTTTCAAGCTATTACTCAGTTAAGGGACTGATAACCAGAATCTACAGGAAACTTAGTTTACCCACAAAAAAAATAAACAACCCAATTTAAAAATGGGCAAATGAGCTGAACAGACAACTCTCCAAAGAATACAAGAACAGCCAAAAAGCCTGTGAAGAAATGTTCAGCATTTCTTATCATAAGGAAAATGCAAATCAAAACAACTATGAGATACCATTTAACCCCAGTCAGAATGGCTAAGACCAAAAAACAAGTATAAGTGCTAGCAGGGCTACCGTGTGAAAAGGGAACCCTCCTACACTGTTGGTGGGAATGTAAATTATTACAACACTCATGGAGAACAGTGCAGAGGTTCCTCAAACCTACAAACAGAACTACCATACAATTTAGCAATTCCACTCCTGGGTATCTACCCACAGGAAAGGAATACACTCAGTTGAAAAAACAGTTGAATATCCATGTTTACTGTGGTATCATTCACAATTGCTAAGACCTGGAATCAACCCAAATGTCCAAGAGTAGATGAATGAATTGAAAAATTCTGGCACATACATTATAGAATACTACTACTCCATAATGTATGGAGCATATAAAACAATAATGTTAATAATTGATACAAAGTGGATAAAATAAGGAAAATTTAATGCTAAGCAAAGCAATCCAGTCTATGAAAGAGAGACATTGTATATCCTTGCATGATATAATCCCAATGTCTATACTTTATGAGAGAAACTTGGAGATTGATATTAGAAATTATAAAATTAGAGAGGGTAACTCCCTGAAGTAGATCAGCTCTAATGAAGAATAAAATCAGTCCTCAATGGATCAGGAGGATCTGACAATAATTTAACTTAGTGGCTTGTCAAAACAAAATCAAGCAATCAAACATCTTACAAATTAAAAATTATTATCCGTGTTGTCCAGTATACAACAATAAATGATATGAAGTAGGAGATTATGACACATTGACAAAAATGCAGTTAGTAGAAACAGATAACACGAAGACTTGGGACTTAAAGAGTATTAAGTTAAGCAGAATAAGTGAGCACCTTTGGAAATTTTGGTAGAGAAATGGAAATTACCAAAAAAGAGAGCTGGAAATTTTAGAAAAGTATAACCATCTGACATGAAAAAAATATATTGAATAGGCTGAAGGATATGTTGGAGTTCACATAAAAATGTCAGTAAACATAAACAGACCTCTAGAGAAGTTATATAATAATAATAAAAAAACTCACACATATAAAGATTATAAATGGATGAACTTATGGAACAATTTAAACTGGTTTAACATACATGAAAATGAATCCCAGGACTACAAAAGAGAGACATGGGGAAAAAAACCTAACTAACTTGAAGATGAAATAAACTTTATGCAAACGGTGAAAAACAAACTACAGAGCCCAGATTCTCTGTGAGCCTCAAGCGTAATACATACAAAAACACCACAAACTACGTCTGTCATAGACTGCTAAACAAACAAAATGATAAAGAAAAAATTCTAAAAAAGCAGCTGGAGAAAATCGGCACCTTATGAGTAGCAATAAAATGAGGCTTCTCATCATAAATGACCATAGCTAGAATACAAAAGTTATATAAATGAGTGAAAGATGGCACCTGTTATTGACCCTTCGGTTGTTGGTTTCTTCACAGTGGGCTGAAATTTTAATGCCCACAGACACCAAATGCAAATTTGTGCACATCTAATTATTCTAAATCTAGCCTAAATGAGAAGAGTTTGGGCCATATGATCTGCTTGCCTTGTACATCTCTATAAAACTGCACCCCAAATCAACTAGGAATAAGTAAAGGTAAGACCTAGTGGCTGAAAGAACCACATTGCTGAGCAGTATCTCTAGATTTATAAATTCTCTCTCAAATCCTCTGTTCCTGTGGAGTTTCCTGCTCTTCTTTGGATGGCGGTCCACTTGCAAATCTGCTAGGCTTCGCCTGATTAATGCTGTGTGTGCTACTACTACCTTGTCCTTTGATTAGCTCTCAAATCACCCCAACTCACTACAAGAACATAAAAACATTTTTAAAGTGCTAAAAAGAAAAAAACAAAAACAAAAAACTTGCAACTTCAGATTTTCTAGTTAAGGTATCTTTAATAACTAAGAGAAAAACAGATTTTTTGAGATAACTGGAAACATTCTTTGACAGCACACCCGCAGCACAGGAAAAGCTTAAGGAAGTCCATTATACTGAAGGTAAATAATGCTAGATATAAAATCAGATCTATGATGGGACCAGCAGTTAGCATAATGGCTATGTCACTGGACTCCCATGTAGTCGACCGCAGTTCACGTCCCGAACCTGGTGGCTTAAAACTCACACCAGGCGCATGTGCGTGCGTGTCCAAGATCTCGAGAGGAGAATGGAGGAGAAGGGATTGTGGCATGGCCATCCTCCCTGAGGGGTGATTTCTCGCTTTCTGTCTCTCTCTTTCTGTCTGTCTGGCGAGCGCACACACCCTATAGCAAAAACCTCTCAAAAAAAAAAAAAAAATCAGATCTACGAGAACATCAGAGATGGAAACTATGTAGGTAAATATAAAAATCTTTCTCTTTTGTCTTTAAAAGATAATTGATTCCTTAAGTAAAAAATTATAATACTGTATTATTCAGTTGACTTTATTGATATTTTGACTATATATATACACACATACATAGTCAAAATATCAATATATGACAATGTTACACAAAGAATAGGGATAATATAAATGGAATTTTAAAAACAAGCAATTAAATGTACAAAAGTATTTTCAAATAAATTAATTATAAAATTATAATCTGAACCAACTACATAATGAGCTGTAATGCCGTTACCAGAACAATAACAGGGTCATGTAAGGGTCCATCAGTATGAAGAGTTTCAATGTCATCTTCGATGCTATAATCCCACTCCACACCAAGATCTATGAAGGTTCGTGACTTGGCTTCCTCTCCTTTGCCATTCAGAATATAGTGACCTGTAGCCTGGTTCTTAATAGCTAAAAGAAGTAACCGGCATATATTTTACTTTTTCATATTACACTGCTAAAAATCTATACCAAGTCTCTTACCTCCTGTAAGTCTACAACTATGTTTTTTATTAGTATCAAGCAATTGAAATAAGTGTTAGTTCTGATATTACCCCCATGGCCTTCCTTAGGCATTCAAAACTCTCAAGAAGCATTCCTAACTGGTCAAAAACAAGGGCAAGATAGTTAAATAGGCCAAAATAATGTTTGCAAATATTCCCATTTGAAAACATTGTCAAAGAAGTTGTTACTAACTCATTCATCCTGTATATTTCCTCATAAAGCTAGGAACATTTTGAAAATAATGGAAACCTATCCAATAATTAATGTAAACAATTTATGCTAGGATAGCATATAACAGAATAGCTTCTTTATCTTTCATTGCATCTATTTAAAGTTGGTCAAAATATTCATAGTCACCCAACATAGTCAAGCTACTTTTCAGGTCAACAATTCAGTTCTAATGATTATAAAATTCCAAGAACACATCACTTATTTCTTTGGTTAAAAATATGCTTACCACTGACAGAATTCTTAATATATTACATGTTTATATATTTTTTTAGAAAATAAAATGCTCCTATTGGGTAAAATATAACAAATAGGATTTCATATTTTAGATGCATTTATCAGCATGTATAAGGTCGGCAGAAAAGTCAAGATGTAATTTTTCATCTTCTATCCAAAAATGTGTCATGACTTTTCCAATGACTTAATAGAATGACACATTAGAAAACAAAATTTACTACCATTACATAAAATGTAAAGAAAAAATGAGTAATTTTATTTATTTTTTTTAACTGGAGTCATTTTTTTTTTTTTTTGGAGAGGTTTTTTGCTATAGGGCACATGTGCTCACCAGACAGAGAGAGACAGAGAGACAGAAAGCGAGAAATCACCCCCCAGGGGGGATGGTCACACCGCAATCCCTTCTCCATTCTCCTCTTGGGATCTTGGGCACGCACGCACACATGCCCAGCATGAGTTTTAAGCTACCAGGTCCAGGACGCGAACGGTGGTCAACTACATGGGAGTCCAGCAACATAGCCATTACACTAACTGCTGGTCCCAACTGGAGTCATTTTAATGAAATACATTTACTCCTCTTGAGCTTGAACTTGTCTAATTTTTCCAAAGCTAATAATCTGAATTCCAAGATGAAAATAAATGTAAATACTGGAATGAGAACTACTGTTTCCTGCTAGACTATTATGGCATCTAGTAGTGAACATAATTTAAATATTAAAAGTCATAATTCTATAAAATGTCAAAAACAATTAATTTTTTAAAGTTACACATAAAGAGCAATTTGCTACAAATTTTCATGGGGTTGGCAGATGCCTTACTTTTAGCAAAGTTATTTACTAAGCCAAGGAATATGTGAAAGTTATATTTACACTTGTATACAGACTATATAGACTATGTACAGACCATAAAGCATATTAAAAATGGCATTTCTACATGATTCTCTCATAAAAGAAGAATCTTCTTTTAATTTTTCGATATTATTCCTTCATTTTACACATTTTATTAACATATCTCTTTTTCTCATTCTTGAATACAGAGCAAAAACTATTTAACAAATACAAACTTATCAAATGATTTTTCTTCCCTCATGAAATTATGAACCCACCACAGTTTCTACCAAAAACTAAATAACTATTCTTAGTTATTTCTTGCTTGAAATTAAAAATAGATGGAAGAAATGACCCCAAAAAATCACACATCATATTGAATGAATGCATTCATCTATAATTATGATTTTTGCATATATATGTATATATACACACATATATATTTCTCCATGTGATTTCTTTGACATTTCAGTGTGAGAGCATGTTAAGCTGAGCCAGCAGACAGAAACACTTACCAAGAATATGAGGAGAAGCCTCGTCTTCTTGGATTAACATGTGTCTAGCCCCAGGGGGTATATCAAACATCTTAAGGTACCCTTTGCATGTGTAGTAAATATTGGAGGAAGCAAAGGAAGAAACAAAAGCAACAACCATGGTTAGTGAGCACTACATTCTTACTGCTCCTGCATGCAGAAGAGAGCATCCATAAACTGAAAGAAGCAGTTTCAGAAATTAATTTCAATGCATTGGTCATTCTTGTGATATCTGATAGGAGATCAGAGAAAATTTCTTTCTTATTAAGAGGGGGTAAGTTAATCTTGGTACCAACTTATTAGTCATTTACCTTGTGTGGGCCTATGGATAGTGTCAACAACTCAGGCAAATAATACTCTTTCTTGTGTCCGTCTAAGTCGCTCCAGTTTCCTAAAGTGCCCTTTTGAAATGGTGTCAATTTTTAGTGAAAGTTCACTTAGATGGTAAACTTTGAGATATTGGGTTGTTGGAAAAGTCATGAGGCATTTTTTTTGTAGAAAAACTTAGGAAAAAATACATCATCACTTTTCTGACAACTCAGTATTTTAGCTGCCTACATATTATTTTTAAAGCCTAGGTGACAAGTATAAATATTAACTATTCAATAATACTTGTTACTTTCTAAATAGCAAAACATTTTCCCACTTAAAAGTCTACTTTGTTCTAAAGAAATTATACAAGAAAAACCAGTGGGTAGTTTTCATTATTCTAGTGGTCAACAATTAATTTTACAGCTTGAAACAAGTTTGATAATGGGATTATTTTAAAATATGTTTTGTAGAGTTCACCAAAGCCCTTCGTTGGAAAATGCATACAATGTCATGCATTGCCTTTATACACTCCCTACCATCAACTGTCTAAACCAGAAACAATCAATGTTCAATGACTTATTTGGGGTTTAAAAATCTTAGGATCATTCCTATTCCTATATATAGGATATGTGACAAACCTTCCTAACATGATCGCATATCCTAAAAATTATCTTAAGAGATTTTGGTATTAAGATCACAGCTATAAATCAGTAATAATCGGGTCAAATAGACTGAAATGTTAATCTCATTTTCAACAAAAATAAACGAATGTAGGACAAGTATGCAACCTACATCTTCAGCACTTGTGCGAAATCCATATACACACTGCAGGATGAGTACTGAGAGAAATTCAGTTATCGATACGGTTGTTAATGGAATCAGGAAAATAAAACCCTGGTTTTTGTCATTTGTAAATGTACAATTAATATGTACCTATGAGGTTTGCCCAACTTTTCCATGATATTTATTAATGTTCTAACTAAATGATGTGGTCATGTTAGGATCAGGATTAGGGCAGCTCATGTGGAGTAAAGTCCAACACATGAAATGTACCATGTTTGCCTGAGTCTGCAATGGCTCCAGGTGACTCAATAAGTTGCCAAACAGAGTAAAACAGCTTGATGCCATTTATGGATGCCCATCTTTCTGCAGTTTGCTACAACTTACCCAGCTTGTTTTTAGCTTCTCTTGTTTCAGTAAGAGAAATATTACGAGCTCCTTTGGGTAAAGTAAAAGCGCCTCTCGTCTTCCCTTAAATAAAATGTCTTTAATTAGTGGAGGTTTCATGTTTATCGAAGTCTTGCTGTTTCATTGACTATCCATAAGCCATATATATTTTGTTAAGATACAAAGTATGCTTTGTAACTGTATATGTTGAAATCAAAATTTCATTAGTTAGCTAATGCCAATAAACTGGATAGTCAATGAAAGTAAGACTAAGCACGAATGCAAAATGATGTAGGTGATTTGAAGTTGAATACTTGCAGATTTCATTTTCCAGCAACTTGAATTCTTTATGGCACCTCTTGCTTAAATGTTTCCCTGTTGGAAAAGGTTAATTAGTCTATTGAATGACTATGATGACAATTACTGTAAAAAAAGAAAAGGAATGTTATAGTACCTTTGAACAGTTTAAATTTGTGTCATCAATGAAAACTTTTCATATTCTCTTGACCTTGTTTTGCAGGTTTATCATAATTTTTGAGGTATTTAAAAACAATATCACTGCCTTATAGAACACATAATATTGAATAAATAATAAATACTTTACTCCTACATTAATTCACTCTGGAAATAAAACTATCTTACACCCCCAAAGTTTTAAATTTTTATTTTATTTTATCATTTATTAATTTTATTTAATCTTTATTTATTAATTTATTTAAATTTGACCAGAGAGGGACAGAGAGAGAGAGAGAGAGAGAGTGAGAAAGCAACCCACCAGGTCCAGGACTTGAACCGTGGTTGGCCATGTGGAAGTCCAGTGTCCTTAACTACCATGTTACCTGCTGACCTCTGTACCCAAAAATTTTAAAAAACTCTAACTCCAGTAAAGAAATCACAGTACATTGTTATTTCACAGTAAGATATAAAAAAAAAAATTCCTTTTGGCTCCAACAAAACCAGTATATATGAATGATTTTGTTTGCTTTTTAAAATACAATCAGTCAGAAATGGCAATATTTGCTTTTAAAATTTTTCAAAGTACAAAACATGGTAACTTATCACACAGGAAGGGCAAAGACATCAGTAACCTGAGTTAGGGAATGCCTAAGAGAAATATATTTGAATGTAATCACCCAGCTCTGCTCTCCTAAACATACCAAAAGAAAAGCTAATATGAGGGGTCTTAAACAAGTTCATGGAAAATGATTATGATAAAACTATGCATGTATTTCTATTTTTCTGTGTGTGCCAAAAAAGAACTTGAATTTTAGTTCCATTTTTTCCCAGGGACTTTCTGAAATCCCCTCGTGTGTGTGAAATTAGCATGAGTTAGGTAGCTGAGGTATAATGGGAATTTAAAAAGCTCAGAATTATTCTAGCAATATTTGGATTGATACTGTGTTTTACATCTGCTCTCTTTTCTTCTATAAAATGAAATGAAAAATTACCATGACAACATTGTACTTAAAAGTAAACCCAGTATCTTTCTTTGTTTTCTGTGTTGCTTTCTTTGGCTTTTTGTTTTATTTTATTTTTTGCTTTCTTTTATTTTATGTTATTCTATAAGATACTATTCTAAGTGCTCTGAAAGGTGTAAGACAATCTTCTCAAGAAACCACCACATCAAACTTATCTTTAAAGGATGAATTCGAGAAATACTTATCCAATAAATCCTTATTGAATAACAAATAATACTTGGTATTCAATATTCAATAATATTGAATAACAGAATAATATTACTGAAAATAGGAACTGTTTGAATCCAACCTTTTATGAAAATACCAGTAAATGTTATGAAACTTCTAATAATTTTAATATTACTAATTGCAGGATAGATTTTGTTCCACTTTTTGAACTTCAGTGTACATGCTATAACAAGCACAAAAATTCACATACACGAGCAACTTATAGCTCAGGTTATTTTTTGGTTGTGTCTTAATTTTAATATATATTTTATCTAATTTTTTTAAGAGAGTTTTTTTTTTTATAGGGCATGTGTACTTGCTGGAGAGACAGAGAGAGACAGAGAGATAGAAAGCAAGAAATTACCCCCCGAGGGGGATGATCACGCTGTAATTCCATCTCTTCCGTCCTCCTCTCAGGGTTCGGAGCGTGCGCACACGCATGCCTGGCGTGAGTTTTTTATGCGGCTGGGTCCGGGACTCCAAACGCGGTAGACTAGGTGAGGGTCCAGTGGTGCAACCATTACACCCTCTGCTGATCCCTGTTTAATATAATTTTTTTTAAATATGTGAAATATAGATCCTTGATACATAGATTTAAAACAGGATTAAATTTTCCACTTTAAAATAAAGGAAGTCAAAGTAGTATTTAAAAGTTATTGTTTTGTGATTTTTTTTTTAAACTCCTGGTCAACAGTTTATATACAAATGATCGGGAAAAACAATGAAAAGATATTGAATGATGAAGTGGGGATTTTAATGTCTCTGTATTGACTGACATGCATGGCATATACCCTTTTGAAAAAGCAATGTAATACACTGTAAAGTTATATGCAACTCAATGCAATAAAAACAAAATTATGATGATAATAAATGAAAAAAATTTAAAAAAACAGTTTATATACAACAGAAGTTTAAAATAAGCACCAGTTCTAAGAATTACATCAACTGCATTTTTATTAAAAATTTAAATAAAACGGATTTTAGCTAACTAAAGTAATTGGTATTAATTTTATTTTTTCCTCATCTAAATTAAATAGATCTTTTTAAATTATAGTTGTCATGGAGTGTAAATTTAGAGTACTTTTGGTTTTGTTTTTAGATTTTTGTCATGAGTACAAATGCTCACCAGAGAGAGAGAGAGAGAGAGGGAAAGTGAGAAATTGTCTTCCAGGGCAATGGCCATGCCACAATCTCTTCTCTTCTACTCTCCTCTCAAGATTCTGGGCATGCATGTGCCCAGAGTGTTTTTTTAAGCTGCTGGGTTTGAAAATCAATTTACAAAGTCAGGCGTGTGGGATCTAGCGCCTTAACCACCACACCACCTGCTGTCCCATAAATTTGCTGTATTTTTAAATAGTTCCTTAAAAGGTAATTTTAATAATAATAAAAAAAAGCCAGCCATTAATTTTTGTATAAATGCTGCATTTCTATAAGAAGTCTCAAAAAGTGCCAGTCACAGAGATGGACACTACACTCATGAGAGGCCCCGTCTTACCAAACTTCTTGGGTGTTCTGGTAAACGTCCCCTTCACGGTTCGGCAATGGGAATTATCTCCGCCACAGACACCGCACTTATCTTCAACCTTGGTAGAACCGATTTCTTTATCACAGCCCACTTTCTGGGGAGAGAGGACATTAAATGTGGCTAATTTTAATATGACACCTACAGGTCAACACCTAGAGAATGACAAATCATTTGTTTAATCATGGCTCTATCAGCCAGTTTGCACCAAACAGTCACTATAGTCATGACTTTTTTTTTTAAAGAGAGATTTTTTTGCTATCAGGTACTTGGCAGAGAGACAAAGAGAGATAGAGAAACAGAAAGCAAGAAATCACTCCTCAGGGGGGATGGCCATGCCACAATTCCTTCTCCTCCATTCTCCTCTTGGGATTCTGGGCATGCATGCACATGTGCCTGGCGTAAGTTTTAAGTTGCCAGATCCAGGGCTCGAAGTGTTGTGGACTACATGGGAATCCAGTGACATAACCATTATGCCATCAGCTGGTCCCAATTTTTAATACTTCCATCTTTTAAATAACTACTGTGAAATTAAATGACCGTATTCTACTTAATAAGGGATACATTTCCCTCAGTTTAGTGAAGAATTTCCCCAACATAAATTGTCTTAAATCATCAGACAGACAGTGACCGAGCACAGATATCACTGATGCTCGGGAGACAAGAAAAATTGCTGCCTTTTCTTTATTACTTTCATATTTATGAAGATGAATAATAATGTAAGAAGTTGTGCATTCATGCAATCTTCAAAATTTGGTTAGGATGTTAGTTAGACAAAATATCATAAAAGTAGTAGAAGTCACTGA